GAATGAGCATTTCTCACTCCCTACTCATCCGAATTGCATGATTTTTCTTTCTAAATTTTATTTTGCATCTTATATTCATTTTTATAGTTTTGAGTTTTTTCTAATTCCTTCATTTTCATTTCCGAACAAAAAAAAAAAAACAATTCTGCTGCTGCTGTTTTGTTCTGTTCTATCAGATTTTCATATTTGTGTGATTTTTGTGTTTTTGACCTTTTAAGTGTTTTTTGTTAGTCTTTTTGGCTGATCTTAGAGCATTGCATTTCCTGTAACTCTTGTTTGAAAATTGAAAAAGAATTCCTTGACTTTAAAATGCAATCCTTGGATATCATTAATTCTTCCTCCATTTATTTCATTGATAAATCTTTTGTTTTAGAAAGTATGGCAAACAATGATGCAAATAGTAGTGGACATGTGCATAATCATGAGGAAGACATTCCCATTAAAAGAAGCATTAGGGAGATGGTTGCGCCTAAGGATGCATTTAGAGCATGTGGCTTAAATGTGAACTTGTAAAAAAATGTTAACTATGAAATTAAGCCTTCTCTAATCAATGCCTTACCAAAATTTCATGGACTTGTAGGTGAAGATCCCAATAAATATCTCCAAATTCTTGGGAGAGTTTGTGTTACAATGAAGCCACCTACAGCTAGTTTGGAGAATTTGATGTTGAAGGTCTTTTACTTCACTTTGGAAGATAAGGCAATCACTTGGTTTAATACTTTGGTCACTGAGACAATCAATTCATGGGCTGAAATGAAGTATTGTTTCTTGGAAAAATATTTTCTAGCAACTAAATACTCTCAATTGAAGAAGCAAATAATGGGAATTCAACAATTTCCTCAAGAATCCTTATATGAGTATTGGATGAGGTTTAGCAAGATGTCTATACCTTTCAGTTGGCAAAGAGTTTCTCATTGAGTATTTTCATGTTGGACTCTCAGTTCATGATATAGAGACTATATATTCAGCTGCTAATGGGTCTTTACTTGATTTTCCTCCTAATGAAGCTTGGGAATTGGTGGAAAAGATGACCAATAATAATCAACAATACAACACAAGGGAGAACACAAGAGGTATGAATGGGGTCTATCAAGCTTCAATTTCTAGTGCTCAACTAGATGACATTTACTCTCAATTAGATTTCCTTAAGATGTCTCTTGCCACCTCTAAACAACCTTAAGTGGCTTCTATGTCAAGAGTATTGGTAGCTCCAAGTTGTGCCATTTGCCACTCAACCATGCACATTACTTCGAATTACATGCATGCCTATGAAAGGGAAGATGTTGCTACTGTTTATCAACAACAAAGGCCATACAATCACCCATAACAAGGAGGAAGAGGTCAATCTAAGCCATATGGAAATACATATACCTCTAGTTAGGGAAATCACACCAATTTGAGTTACATATATAATCAAGAGGTTTCTACTTCAAGGAGCAATCAAATAGTTCTTATCCAAGACTCTTCCAATGATAACAAGCTTATAAAAACACCAACTCCTGTCGACTAAAGATTAAACCACCAGCAACAAATGAAAACCTCAAAGGGATTGAAGGTCCCTTAAACTCCTCCAGAACAATTGCTTCTATGAAAAATGATGTATTTGACTAGGTTTTTTCTAAACAAGAAGATATAGACTCAATTGCTTCAACTGAAGTCTTTACAGAATACACAAATTTTGAAATAGACCATATAACCTCCTAGTTTTCTAATCCTATAATTTGTCACTATTGAAGGTGAATTAGTAATTAGTAAATGAGTAGAAATTTGGAGGATTATTTTATAATTTGAGTCCTTGGGGTGTTTTAATGAGTAGACATGAGTGGAAGAACCACGTCTCAAAATTAAGCATGTGAGCATGGTGACAATTTTCCTCACTGTGCCATACATTACAGCTAATGCTGCCTGTGCCATAGTGCATGGCACAAAAATCTACTGATTTAATCGTGCATCAACTCGTGGTTGAGGAGAAAAAAGGGAGTAAAGAATGAAAGGAGAAAAGAAAAGAGTAGAGGTCTACTAGGGCAAGCGTTCATTGGAGATTGAAAGGCAATTTTGATCGATAGCTTATTGGGTAAGTCTCGTATAGCTCTTACCTTCGATTCTACTATAATTTCTCTTAGTATAAGTTATAGAGAAATTAAATCGGAAAAATTTAAGGGATTGGTTTTTTACCCTGTAGAAATAAAAAGGTTCTTGAAAGTTAAATTAAACTTTTGTGACTGATTTGGGCTAAATGATAGAGCTTTGAAACTACAGGCTCAAATTTGGCCTTAATTTAAAGAGAAATGAGGTGGAAATGGAGTAGAGGAAAAATAGAATCATGTAAAGTGATAGAAAGTGGTGTTTGAGGGACATTGGTCCTAGACTGGCTAATGGAAAGGGATGAATGGCTAAATGTAGCTTTAAGTAATATTTATGTGCCTTTAGTCAATTTGATTAATTGACTAATGGTACCAATTGTATGTAGATTGGCTTATCTCATATGTAAAGTAAGAAGAGAAGAGTGTAGTGAATTGTTAGTGGTTGAGAAAATCCACAGGTAACCTTTTTTGTGATAGAAGAGTTGAGATAGCTAAATAACTTTATCTAGTTGATTATCTACTATAACTGTTTAGGAGTATGAGTATTATTGCATGGAAATGTTTTAAAGTAAGTATATTTTCCAAATACATGTTTAGAGCATGAAATGAATTTCTAAAGAATTGAATTCATGAGTTGCATGCTTTATGGATAAATATGTGTGTACATGTGTTTATAGATGGTTTTATATGTATGTGGGAAAATGTGATTTATATGAAAGCATAATCATAAGGGTAGGAGTTCACTCATAGGGAGTAATAGTGAAAAATCATATGGCATATTCTCCTTAGTGCTCGACAAGGTGCGGTGCTAGAGAATTGTATCTCCTTAGTGCTTATTGAGATGCGGAGTTGGAGATTATCTCCTTACGTGCCAATTAAGGTGTGGTCTTAAAGATTTAGACTCTTTAGTATTGATGTGATCTGGTGTTGGAGTCAACGACACTCCATTGTGTGTAATGGGAGAAACTATAGTCTAGAAGTAAAATAAAACACCTTTGGTCGGGTGATTATACTACTGAAGGTGTGCTAAGGGCTAATGAGTATGTATATTAGTCCAAGGCAAACCTATGGTTTCAAGTCGGGGTGATTTAAAGGTTCAATTGGTAGTGATCATGCTATTTTTATAAGTGGTGAATTGTGGTGAATATAGTTTTGGAAAAGGTGAAACGATATAAAGGTGATTTAAAGTGAAATTTGTGCTAAATGTTGTGTTTAATTGTATATTATATAATACTTGCTTATAGTTACATGTGATAGTCAATAGTAGAGAGTTATTCTATTACTAAGATTATTATCTCAACCCCATGGTTATATTTTTACAGGTTACAGTAGTGAGAAAGGTAGGGAAAAAGAGTTAGGACCAGCTTAGTTGTGCCATTGATGTGAAATCTCTGAATTCACTAGTGTAAAATAGCAATTTAACGACATATTTTTTACCACAGTTCATAAAAAAATAGTGGTAATACATGAGATAATGGCTTATTGATAATTAACTTGAAAAATAGATCATTTACGGCGATAGTTCTATGATAAACTGTCACCATAAATGCTTATGACAAATATTTAAATTAAATAATTAAAATAAATTATTACTTAAATGTTTATTACATAAATGTAATTCATTTACAAAATAATTATAATTGAAATCAATTATTAATTATATTATTTATTAATAATAAATTAATATTTAAGGCAAATTAATTTTTTCTAAATTAAAAAATATTAAAATAACTTTATTTAGAAGATAATTATACTTCATCGAAATTATTTATTATATTCATAATTAATTATGTAATATTGAAGATAAATTAATTGTATCTAAAATAAAAAATATTAAATGAATTTTATTTAGAGACTATTATAATAAATAAAAATTATTTATTATATTCGTAATAAATAATGTAAGATCTAAGTTAAATTAATTGTGTCTAGATAAAAAAATATTAACAAATTTTATTTAATAACATTGAATAATTAATATATTTTTTAAAATTAAAATTAAAATTTGCCAAAAATCGAGCATATTAAAAATAGAAGAAAAAATAAAATAAATCTTAAAATAATTAAATTAAATTAATTTTATATATTTTATTTATTTACGTCTGAATTCAGACATTTTAAAATTTAAAATGTACATTTGGTGACAGGCGCCCTCGGGACTGTCGCCAAAGATGTCACCAAAGATACATCTTTAAAAAAAAATTTATGGTGACAGTCCCCTGGGAATCCGTCGCCATTAAATATGTCTTGTTAAAGACATATTTATTGCGACAGACCTCGAGGCATTTGTCTCTATTACTAATTAATTAAAATAAAATCTTTTTTTAAAATAAAATAATATTTTTAAATAATATTTTATTTTAGGACGCATTTAATGTGTCTGAATTAAGACACATTTAATGTGTCTTAATTTAGACACATAAAATAATATTTTATTTTAAGGCACATTAAAAGTGTCTTAAAATAATTGTTTTTTTAAAAAAACATGGTTTATGGGGACAGTTGCCCTGTGAACTGTCGCCATAAATTTGTCTGAAAATGAGACACATTTATGACGACAGGTGGTGGGTTAACTGTCGCCGTTAATGCTACTAAAAGACTTAATCCCTTAGCTCGTGATTTCTCAGCTCGTGCCGTCACTCTCCCCCACAGCTCCAGCCATCACAGTCGCCTATAGCTCGTCTTCTCCATAGCTCATCCTCAAGCTCACTCATTCCCCCTTAGCTTGCAGCTCGCTTCCTCATTCCCCCTTAGCTTGTAGCTCCCATAGCTTGAGGAGTGCCCACAGCTCCAGCTCGCCTTATCCCACAGCTTGCCGCCACCTTCAGCTTCTGCGCCCCTAGCTCGCCGCCGCCGTCGCCGTCGCCTTCGGTTCAGCTTCTCTTGCTCCTAGCACATCTCAACTTTCAGGTTTTTTTAAAAAATTTTAATTAGCTTTTTATGCTTTACAAAATTATTTTTTTTATTTTCTTGTTCTTTTTTACAATTTTTTTAGTTTGTTTTTTGATAATTTTTAAACACCTATTTTTAAGCACCACTTTCATCGTGTTTCCTTCCCTTGCCCCTGCACATCTCAATTTTCAAGTTTTTTAATTTTTTAATTAGCTTTTTATGCTTCACAAAATTAATTTTTTTGCTGATTTTAATTTTGTTTTTTTTTTGTTCCTTTTACTATTTTTTGTTTGTTTCTTAATAATTTTTAAACACCTACTATCATAAATTAATTAAAATGTTCTTTGATGGCTGTATGTGATAGTTTGAATTGGTTGTTTATTAGAGTTAATAATTATTGACAATTTAGTTGAATTTAATCATTAAAATTTGCTTAATTTTGTTCAAATTGGTGTTTTGGAAAGGTTAAATAGAACAATGTATTTCAATTATCCTTTTAGCTCTACAAAAGTAAATTAGATTATCATTTGACGGTTGTATGTAATAGCTGAATTGGTTGTTGATTAGAGTTGATAATTTTGAAAATTCAATTGAGAGGTTAAATTGAACAAATTGAGGGGTTTAGTGCTCGAGAAATCTCGCTTTGTGAACTGTTATGCCGTTGAAATTTTTTTAAATTTCAAATTATAAATTATTTGTTGAAATTTGAAATAGGTAATGATGAACCATAGTTGGATAGATGCTTTACGAGCAAGTGATGAATATGAGATGGGAGTAGATCACTTTTTGGAATTTGCAAAGAATAATGTTCTTAGTAATAAAGGATTATTTTATTGTCCTTGTGTTAAACGCTTGAATGGGTTGCGACAAAGTCCTGTAGAGATTAAGGATCACCTAATTTGTTTTGGGTTATACAAAGCATATAGACAGTGGGTATTGCATAGTGAATCTAGAAAACGTGGTATGCCACAAGTTGAAAATGATGATATGAATTTTGGTGATCAAATAGAGGATATCTTATGTGATATGTTATTATATTTTTTTACTACTAACTTTATTTATCTTATTTGTTTTAGGAAAAATATGGAGAATCTTGTCACCGACAAATCAAGTTCTAAAAGAGGTAAAAGAGGGACCACACGACTTACTAAGTTGGCCCAAATACATGAAAAAATTCAACTTAATTTTGATGACAAAGGCCAACCAATTGATAAGAAGAAAGGAAACATTTTTAAGAGTTTTGTGGGTTTGGTAGCATGTCAAAAAATCAGCATCTTAGAGGAAAAGTGGGATGATGTAAATGAAAGTGATAGAAATGATGTTTGGGAATCTATACTGGTATTTCTAATTGTTATATGTCATATCTACTTTTTATTTTGACATTTATGTTGTTACTAAATTCTTTGTTAATGTGTGTTATTTTGTAGATTACTTATGATATTAAGGAAACTCTATTTTTAAAGGACAAGTGGCTAAAGTATGCTATGGACCGATGGAGGGACTTTAAGTCCAAACTTATTAGAAAATATGTGTTTCCTAAGAGTTGCAATGAAAATGATAATAGTGATAATGATGTCAACATGGAAAAACCTTGGGAGAAATATCCATTCATTGATTATGACATGTGGATGAAATTTGTTCATAGTAGACACGATCCCAAATTTTTGGTAAGTGAAACAAGAATATGATAATTTGTTTAGTATTAGTAGAAATTCATTTCTAACTAATGCTTTTCATTATTTGTTAATAGTAAAAAAGTCAAAAAGGGCAAGAGCATCGAAAGAAAAATGTATACAACCATACGATGTCTCGGGAAGGGTATGCATATATTTATGATATAATGACTCAAGAAAAGTGGGAAGCTAAAAGACAAGCGGCAGGGGTTGATAATATTGAAGATGTTTCTCCTCCATCTCCTGTTAATCGTGCTCAAGCATGGAGAGAGGATGGATGAATAAAAAAGGAGAGTTTATTTTCCCAGAGGCTAGAGAAGTGACTGAGAAAATTGTATGTATCTTTACAGTCAATATCTTAATCATATGATTGAAATTTTTTAACTATATTGATTTCTATTTGCTTGCATATTCTAGGATGCTCTTACAGAAGCATCACTACTACAGAAAGGTGTATAATTGATGCCCTATAATTGACATTTATTTGAAAAAAATGACAAATAAAAAAGGTGGAGAATATTTGACGGTTTTTACGAAATAAGCGTCAAATATTTAAGTAAATACTTGACAGTTATTTAAAGATAACCGTCAAGTATATATATTTGACATTTTTTTATAAATAACCGTCATATAAAGCTAAAATTTACACGTCGGTCTTCAATAAACAAACGTCAAATTAATAGTAGAAAAAAAATTAAATTTTTTTACATACTTGACGCTTGTTTTGAAATAACTGTCAAGTTTGTCTGCCATATACTTGACGATTGTTTTAAAAAAGCATCATATATGTAATACTTGACGGTTATTATGAAATAACCGTCAAGTATTATCATTTAAATTTCCTCTAGATTTCTTTTTCGCTCTCCATTTCCGTAAATCCTTCGTCTTCAGAAACAAACCGAAACCCATTTTTCGTCACTCTAACTGCCAAAAAATACATTTTCGGTCTCGATTCTTGAGGGATTTTTGATTCTCGGCCTCCATAAGTCTCGTGGGCACTCGTTCGTTTGGATTCTTGATCTCTATCACTCTGCAATAGACTCTCGTCTCTATTTTTCTGCACAGTCGGTGTTCCCTCTTCTTGTTGAGGTAGGTTCTTGCTTTCCCAATCATTAATCTTCATTTTGAATGTATGGGTTGTTGATTTTGATTTTCATACATAATAAATAATTTTTGTGTTATTTATTTTGATCTGCATTGTTGTTCTTCCCAGTGAGTGTTTGAAGTTTTGAGTTTTTGGTTACTTAGTTATTGAATTAAGGGATCATCCAATTATTTTGTTGATATGAGGAGATTCATTAAGGATATGAAAATAGTATACCACCTAATTACCTTGTTTTTAATATTTTTGATATTTTAAATTGATATTTATATAGTGTTTGATGTGGTTTAATATGATTTTAATTAAAATTGAATTTCTTATTAATGTTGTTATTATTGTTGTTGGATCATATATAATCTCATTATGGATAACTTGATTTTTTTAAAGGCATAAAGACCTGGTAATACTCATTTTAAGCCGTTATATATACTATTAATTTTTTTAAAATTATTCTTGAATATAACTTTATGTGTTTGTTGTTGTGGATGCTATTGTTGTTGTCATTTAGATTAATAGGAAGAGGGGATAAGGCCTGAAAAACTCTCTTTTTTAAGTTGTTATGCTGCCAAAATTATTTCAATGGCTAGCATTAAAATATAATTATTAGTTTCAAACAAGATTAAAGAGGGAATGTGCAAACATGTGGTTAGTGACTTATTGACTAATTGATCTTTATATCTAATTCTGCTACTATTTAGGAGTAGTCAAAGTCACTAATCATATTTCCCTCTTAATCTTTCTAGGAATTATGGATAAGGAATGGATGTCTGTCAATCGTCTATCCAAGGAATATTGGGATGGGGTGGCAAATTTTGTTAAGCTTACGGAGGATCCTACTAGGATTGTTTGCCCATGTTTAAAGTGTGGTCTTGTGAAGTGGGTTAGTCTAGATACTTGTGAAGAACACCTAGTGATTAATGGGATGGATCAAAGTTACAAGTGTTGGACAATGCATGGAGAGACAAGAGATGATATTGGTTGCAGCCAGAAGCATAGTGAAAGCTGTGCATCATCTCCTAATGATTTTGACACATGCACACTTGAGGAAGATTATCTTGAACAGATGGCCAAAGCAGTTGAAGAGGACCTCGAGGATTATCCGGAAATGTTTGAGAAGTTGAAAAGTGATGTGGAGACACTATTGTATGCTGGTTGTAGTGCATCAAAGTTGTTAGCAGTGTTAAAATTGTACAACATGAAGGCAAAACATAGATGGAGTGATGCAAGCTTTACTGAGTTGCTTGGGTATTTGAAAGTAGAATTACTTCCTAAGGAAAATGAGCTTCCTTGTCGAACATATGATGCAAAACAAGTATTACGATTAATTGGCATGAGTTATGAAAAGATACACTCGTGCCCTAATGATTGCCTTTTATTTCGGAATGAATATACGTCGTTAACCGAGTGTCTGAAGTGTAATGCCTCACGCTACAAGCAGAACGGATCAAGTCTCGTGAAGGCACTATGGTATTTTCCAATCGTGCCTAGATTTAGACGCATGTATAGCAGTGCAGAAATTGTGAAAAACTTAACATGGCATGCGGATGAAAGGATAAAAGATGGCATGCTTCGTCATCTTGCTGATTCTCCATAATGGAGAAAGATTGATTATGAGTACCCTGAATTTGGGGAAGAGAGTAGGAATCTACGCCTTGCATTGTCTACCGACGGGATGAATCCTTATGGGATTCAAAGTAGTAGCCACAGCACTTGGCCAGTCATTTTGGTGATTTATAACCTTCCTCTATGGATTTGTATGAAGCGCAAGTATATGATGTTGTCCATGCTAATTGCGGGACCTAAGAAACCTAAGAATGACATAGACATATAGTTAGCTCCTCTAATTGATGACTTAAAGATCATGTGGGAGTCAGGTATAGAGGTATATGATGGGTATAGAGAAGAAATATTTAATTTAAGAGCTATGCTTTTCGGTACAATCAATGACTTTCTTGCTTGTGGCAATCTGTCAGGGTATAGCATTAAAGGGCAACTTAGATGCCCTATTTGTGAAGAGGGAACACATTCTATGAGGCTTCAGCATGGGATGAAGAATGTTTACCTCGGCCACCGTAGGTTTTTACACCAAGAACATCATTATCAGTGGTTGAGAAAAGCATTCAATAGAAATCCAGAAGAAGGTAAGACACCTTTGCCGTTAACTGGTGATGAGTTGTTTGAGAAGATTAAGGATTTGGATATTGAATTTGGCAAACCATTTGCAAGGCACCTTGGGACAACCAGATGGAAGAAGAGATCTATTTTCTTTGAACTCCCTTATTGGACCACCTTGGATGTTCGGCATTTTCTTGATGTCATATATATTGAAAAAAATGTCTGCAAGAGTCTTATTGGGACTTTACTCCAAGTGTCAGGAAAAACAAAAGATGGCATAAAAGCAAGGTTGGACATGGTCTCTTTAGGAATAAGAGAAGAATTAGCACCCCAAGATAAGGGGAACCGTACCTTTCTCCCTCCGGCAGCTTATATGCTATCTAAGAAAGAGAAAACTGCATTTTGTGAGTTTCTTAATGTAGTTAAAGTTCCTGAGGGTTACTCTTCAAACATAAAAAATATTGTATCAATGAAAGATTTAAAGTTGAAGGGCTTAAAGTCTCACGATTGCCATGTTTTAATAGAGGATTTCATTCTAGTTGCTATACGTGCAATTTTACCCCATAAAGTATGAGGGATGATCACTAAGTTATGTTTGTTTTTCAAGTCCATTTACAATAAAGTGATTAACCCACATAAGTTGCCAAGGTTGCAAGCTCGAATTGTATTAACACTGTGTGAGCTTGAGATGTATTTTCCACCGGCATTCTTTGATATTTTGATCCACCTAACTGTTCACTTAGTTAGGGAGGTTTAAATGTGCAGGCCTGCTTATTTAAGATGGATGTATCCTATTGAGCGCTATATGAAGATTTTGAAAGGCTATGTGAAAAATCGAAGTCGACCGGAGGGTTGTATTGTTGAACGGTATATTTGTGAAGAGGCTGTTGACTTTTGTACTGAATACCTGAGTCATATTAGCTATGTTGGGCTTCTAATGTCTTGACATATGGGTAGAATAAGTGGAGAGGGGATCATGGGAAACAAAGTCATTATTATGTCAAGTATACAGTGGGAGCAAGCCCGCTTATATGTGTTGCACAACATTGAAGAGATTGAAGAGTATGTAAACAAGCATATAGCTGAACTTAGGAGGGACAATCTCAATAAATTAGAAATTTGGTATGCTAGGGAACACAACAAAACTTTTACAAGATGGTTTAAGGAGCACATTCTTCAAAAGTTAAATGTTAATTTCAATTCAGTTTGTAACAAATTGAGATGGTTAGCTAACAGTCCAAGCAGACAGGCCATTTCTTACACTACTTACCTTATCAATGGATACACATTTTATAAAAGGGAGCAAGATAATAGGAGCACAATGCAAAATAGTGGTGTAACTCTTGTAGCTCATTCCATGCATATTTCCAGCACTAAGGATAAAAATCCTATCTATACAAACATGTCATACTTTGGTGTAATTGAGCATATATGGGATTTAGATTACATATCCTTTCGAGTTCCAGTCTTTGGGTGCAAGTGGATTGATCGAAAAAATGGCTTGAAATTTGATTACCAATTTGGCTTTGTACAAGTCAATTTAAACAAGGAAGGGTATAAGGATGAGCCTTTTATTTTAGCGCAACAAGCCAAACAAGTGTTTTATGTCCCTGACCCTGCTAATAAGGGGTGGTCTATTCTTATGTTACATGAAAAAATAAATGAAAATGTAGCAATTGAAGATGACCCAATTGAAGGGACATCAAATCAAAGTAACGACACTGTTGATGAAGCTCTATACATGAGAAATGATCACAATGAAGGCATTTGGATTTCAAAGAGGGGTAAATTATTTCAGTATAAGAAGAAAATATTTCAAGGAGGGGGAAGTAAAAAACCCAAGTCAAGGAAATGAAAAAGAGCAACTTGAACATGTAACCATTGAATTAATTATGCCATTTTTGTTTCATGTTTGAATTAATATAGTCAATTATATTTGAATTAATCATGGTTGATTAATTTTTTGAATTAATCATGGTTGATTAATTTTGAAATTTTATTATGTTACACGTAAATGACTTCAGATTCTGAGTCCACTGAAATCCCTCCATCAGATCCCGCTACAACTTCTACTGATGCTCCGTTGTCACAAAAAAAAAATTGGAACAGGAATATTGCAATATCCAGCGAGGCCTAACAATAATAGAAGAAGTCACAAAAACAAGAGCAGTAGGGAAAAAAATATCAGTGCAGTGAAAAAAGAAAGGCCAAGCCATCAAATCTGCAAAGTTTATAAGTTATATTGGGGTTATGGCAAAGACAACTGTACCTATCACGTAGAAATCTTGGCACAAAGTTGATCAAGCCACGAAGGACATTGTTTAGGAGACTGTATCTGTAAGTTGCATTTGACTAAGTTATATTCTATTATAATATTTTAAATTGATGCACCTAACATATTTATTTTATTTTATAGTCAGGATTTGAAATAGACGAGAGCAGGAAGGATTTTGCCCTTCAAAAGGCTGGGAGGGCATTACGGTCTTTCAGACATTTTATTACACAAAAATATTTGAAAGACCCTAATGCTGAATTTGTAGCCCAAGTTCCTCCCCTATTACAGCCTTTAGTAAAGCAAGAAGATTGGGATGCTTTTGTTGTCTCTCGGCGCGAGAAGGAATTTAAGGTATTTATGTTTCTAAAATTTAAATTTTAGTGCCTTTTATTGAATATATCTATGTGTACTAACAGGATATTTTTGTTATTGATTAAAGGAATTGAGCGCCCAAAATAAGAAGAGAGTGGCCAAGAATGAATATCCTTACATAACAGGGAGCTTAGGGTATGCAGGCATGGAGCAGAAAGAAGTTGAGGCTGAGGGATCAGATGTTACCATATCCTGCCAAAGACTCTGGGCATTGGCACGAACAAATAAAGATGGAGTGATCGACAACCCTCGTGTGAAAGAGGTTGCTAAAAAAATTGTAAGTGTTATTCTTATCTATCAATTAATAAATGATTATTAAAAGGCATACTAATTAGCTCTACTTTTCACAGGATTCCCTCTCTCAAGAAGTATCACAGGGCGAGCTTCTTGAGCATGAGGATATCTTAGCTAGAGTATTGGGGACCCCTGACCACCCTGGTCGTGTTAGGGGTGTTGGCTTCGGTGTCACAAAGAAGCAATACTTTGGCAAGATTAAGAAGCGAACATGGGCTTCTTCATCAGAGGTCCAAGAGTTGAGAGAAGAGCAAGCTGTTATGAAGCAACAGCTAGAAGCCCAAGTGAAGTTAATTGACATGCTATTGAAGGGCTAGATCCTTGGGAGGCTTTTAGGTGACATTAGCCCTAGTAGAAAAGATAGCTACACAGTCCCTTCAAACAAAATACCTGAGGTAATGCATTTTCTCTTTTAAATTTGCTCAACTAATTTTTTATCTAAACAACTAACGTTCTTCATTTATTTAGGGCGAGAATGATTGCAACTTTTTAACAGACGATCCGTCACGCAAAGTAGTTGCAACGGGACGCGTGTATAACATTGCCGGGAACATAATCCATAACCTTCCCCTCTCGCCCGATTGCATTAGGGTTTCCTTACTTGTTGCAATTGACCCTAAGTATCTATTACCTTATCCTACCGATGAGATGCAAACGGTAGGAGATACGTTGGGGAGCTCCATTGCATGGCCTAGCCACCTTGTTATGGTTGGTACACCAAAGCCGACAAAGGACCCAAAGTCACCAAAGGACCCCTTGCCACTAAAGAAAAAGGTATATATGATTTATATAATTATTTAAAATTTTTAATATATATATATATATATATATGTCTAACTTTTTCATTGTATAGCTAAGGAGGAAAAGCAAATTGAAGGGTAAGGTGTCGGGCCGTACTAAAGAGTCAGTCATGATTTCGCAACATGCAGTGCCTATGCCTGTTGTAAAAAATAAATTCCGTGACTCTCTTGAGACCTATGCTTCAGCTACGAGGATGATTCGTCAAGAGCCGATAGGGGATATCATTAATTTTGACGATGGGCTATTTGGTAGAGCATCATTTGAAGTCGTTCGGGATGAAATTTTAAATGAAATCCTCAAGCACAATATAGCGAGCACCAGTTTGATGACTTTTTACATGAGGTAATTCTTCAACATTTATTAGTTAATTTCTTGAATTATTTATGTGTGTGAGTATGCAAGCATATTAACTTGTATATTTTTTCACCCAAGTCACCTTTATACCTCATTCGTGGTTCCTGGTGGCCTTGAGTCAAAGATCAAGCTAGTTAATCCTCATGATGTCTCTCCCCACAATAATATTACAAAGGAAGCCCTTGAAAATCAAGCAAAAATGCTTTCGAATCAATTTCGAGAAAGGGGAGTAGCGAAGGATACTTTATTTCTCGCTCCTTACTGCCAAAGGTGAGTTGTTAATATTTGTTACGAGTAAATATTTTTTATATTTATTTGTTTGGTAACATGTGCTGTTTCTTGTTAGGGGACACTGGATGCTTATTATGGTTAATCCCGTTGCTCTAAAAATATGGTATCTCGATCCCCTTAATGGAGAGCCAAGCAACAGGGAAGATATGGTGGTACTTTTTAATGAGTAAGTTAGATTTTTTTACTTGTTATTTATTTTTAATTTTAGTTTTCATTCATATATATTTCTCACATTCATTCCATAATTCCTTCTTAGAGCTGTGGTGTTGTATCGCACTGCGACTGACATGACTGTATCCCCTAAGATGAGGGCATTCGAATCTTCAGAGAAATGGGTCACTGTTAAGGTATTCATTTAATTGGTCAAGTTTTTAATCAAGAAGTTGTCTCATTATATTTTACAATTTCATTGATATTTGTTTTTTATAGTGTCCATTCCAGCCAGATCAGAGCAATGATTGTGGTTATTGCTTGATGAAGTTCATGAAGGACATTATCACTCATGCCCCTACCACATTATCTAACAAGGTATATATATAAAATTTAATTACACTTCAATTATAAATTTTAAACAATTTTAGTTAGCTACCTATTAACTTGAAATTATTGTAACTATTTGCTTACAGTACTTCGAGGACGTCTATTGCGTTCGTTATTCGACTGCACATGTAGAAGAGGTCCTTGAAGAGGTGGCCCAATGTGTTTTCAATATGTGGGTAGCAACAGTGGTTAGGCCGATACAATAGTTAGTTACATTTATATACACATTTTTGGGCCAATTTTTATGGGATAGGCCACTTAATTTTGAAACATTAGTTTGCAAATAAGTTTAGATTTTAAGGTTAAATGTATAGGAATTTTTATGTTAATTAGGTAGGAGATACTATTATAAACATTCATTATATTGCATTATTTTCATTGCTGGTTGGCTATTTTTTATCTTTATCTGTATCTTTATGCAGGGGGCTGCTTTAAAAGCAGCCACCATATTTAAAAAAATTATGTCATTAATACTTGATAGTTATTTCAAAATAACCGTCAAGTATCAATATAGTTGATGCTTGTTTCAAAACAAGCGTCAAGTATTTGTAAATACTTGACGGTTATAAGGAAACAAGCGTCAAGTATTTATGGTTGGCCATAAATACTTGACGCTTGTTTCAAAATAAGCGTCAAGTATTTATTCTGGGAACTGCATATTTACTTCATATACTTGACGGTTTTTCTCAAATAACCGTCAAGTATAAGATTAATACTTAACAGTTTTTAACTGTCAAGTATTATTTCTTTAATATATGTCGCACCCTTACTTGACGGTTAAAAACTATCAAGTATTGTGAAAAATAAGTATCAAGTATGGGTATTTTCTATGGTAGTGCATCCTCTGAGGGGACCTTTGTGTCTATTGGTAGGAAGGATATATTGACCACGGCCTTAGGGAGTGAAGAGCACCTCAGACGTGTTAGGGGGGTTCCAAAAGGTGTGGGTTTAAGACAATATTTTGGACCTCCACCATCTAATCTTATGCCGATACAATAAGTGTAAAGGATGATAGCAAAATGCAATCAATGATTAGCAGTCTGCAGATGCAACCACAACAAGCACCAAAATATGATGGTGTTACAAAGCTAGTGTGTGATCCTAGCCTATCATATCAAGGAATGCCATACATACTTTATGTGAACAATCATGCCAAATGAGTAGTTGCATATGGAAAAGTGTATAACGATGCAACTATAGTCCACCACCAACAGATACAACATTACCAAGTAAAGGTGATGGTTGAAGAGATTGTGGATGCTAATGCTTCTGGTCTATTCCCTACTGAGGAGGTGTAAACAATAGGAAAAGCTCAGTATAATTTCATTATTTAGTTGAAAAAGCTAGTCTGACAAGTTACTGAAGAGGTATAAAAATATTACAATTTTTTATATTTAATTAATATCATAGGTATTTCTAATTTTCATTATATATTAATCATAGGAACTTCTACAATCAAAAGAACCTCTGGGCTCTAATCCTCAACCAGTGCAAGATGATTTGAAATGGTTGGCTTCGGTGGTGGTTGACATCGATGAATTTTCTGATGAAATAAACGTAATTGAAAATATTATTGGGAAGCATATTACGTTTAGAGTCGCCAAAGAAGACATTAATGATCTCATTATTTTTGAGTGGTTAGACTTGGGAATAATTCAAATTTTTATCATGTAAGTATTCATTTTTATTTCTAAATTAATATTTAATATTTTTTTATTGCTAACGTATTTCTTATTATCAAAGGTACCTCTACAAGATATGCAATGAACTCGGTGTTGACAATAATTATGGGTTCTTGTCTCCACTTTTAACTGCATGTGGCAAAGTGAACCAAAGAGCTTCTTATATTGGAAAGACGATGTGCAAGTAAAAGATATGCTGGTTTTTACCAATTATTGAAAGGTATTAAATTTTAAATTCATCCCTTAGTTTATAAAGAAATTTCCTTAATGATGTGATATTAATATATTAATATATTTTAATCATCATTGGATACTTCTTGTCATTTGCCCATATGAAAATACTATATACTAGTTTTGTTCAATACAAAGGAAAATAAGCGACGATATGAAGACTTTGATTGAATTGTAAGTTTTTGAATAATTCTATTTTGTGTTATTAATAACATATATTTAATATTTTTAAAGTTTTCTAAGTGTGTATATTTGGTAAATAGATCTTTAGTGATATATTGGAAATTAGCGGGAATGGTTGACAAGAAAAAAAATGAAATCAAGTGGGTGCCAATGCAAGTAAGTATTTCAAATTTATTCCCTAATTAGAATAAAGATTATAGTATTTAATTATTTTTATTTTCTGCATAGTGTCTTCAACAACCAAAAAGTGTAGAATGCGGTTATTATGTGATGATTTTCATATATGAAATTATCACTCAGGGTATCACTCACTCATTTGATCAAGTAATAATTTGTTAATAATAATTTATAATTATGTTGTTTGTTGTATACTTAAGTTATTATTCATACATATATTTCTATTTAATTTGTAGCACTTCCAAAGTTTAGAGCCATATTCTAAGCAAGAGTTGAGACATATTTGCAATATGTGGTCTAGGTTTTTCTTAGAATTGATAGGATTAGAGTAGAAACTTTCTAGATATTTGTATTAAAAATATAGACTTTTAGTTCATATATTTGTACCAGATATATTTGTACTAGTGTCTGGAGTTACTGTTTATGTATTAATGCAAGTTTTGTAATCAAAGGATGTATATATTTATTTGCGAATCTATAAAAAAAAATATAGTATTTACAGCCACAGTTATCACTATAACTATAGTAAAAGATGATATATGGTGACAGTTATAGAAACAACTGTCGCCATATATGAATCTCTAAACGCATCTTTCGCCACAGGTGAGTTCGGACCTATGGCAAAAGATATTATTTTTCACCACAAGTGAGCTAAGACCTGTGGCAAAAAATGATATGTTTTATCACTATATATTTCGCCATAGGTGAGCTAGGAACTGTGGCGAAAGATATCATTTTTTGCTACAGTTAAGCTGAAACTTGTAGCAAAAAATGATATTTTTTACTACTGTATTTTTCACCACAGGTGAGCTTAGATCTATGGTGAAAAATGATATCTTTCGTTATAGTTCCGTTTGACCTGTGGTGAAAAATGTCTATTTACTACCACATGATTTTTTTACTATAAAGCTTCTTTAGTCGTGAAAAATATGTTTTAACTGTGGTGAAAAATGCTTTTTGTACTACTAGTTTGTGCATGTTTTGGTTAGTTACAAGTAGTGAAATGCTGAAAATGATAGTGATTGTGTAGATCCTAGCCTTATGTGTGCATATGTGATGAAATAAGCATTTTAGGCTAAAATTTAGTTGTGAACATATTGTGAATATGCTAGTAGTGGATATGAAGTGAATTTTTTGTGATATTGTGGTGAAAATGGCCAAACTGGTCTGTGTATGTTAAGTTATAAATAATTGTCAAAAGTTGAGATGGGCTGTTAAGTGTTCAAATCTTGATTTATGTGTATACATGATATAAAGTATGGTCAATCAGATATAGTAGGTCCTTTTGGACTTGGTTCAAGGCCTATAATGGTCTAGTGAGACAATATGAGCGATTTGAGCACTTGGGTGTGCAAAATTTTTAGAAAAAAGTAATTTTTTTGCACCCTAAGTGTCCAAATTTTGATCGGACGGTTGGTCCATGTCCAAACTTATCTAATTAGTTAGCTTATGAAATAAGCTTCATATGGGCGCTTGAATCACTTCAATCAGACATCATATGTGGAAATAGCATACGCTGAAAATTTGCACTACAAACTAGTTTATGATAGCAGCAAATACTGTCATGTGCATTGTGGTACATGGCATGTCACACTATGGTGCATGACACAGAGAAGGGTTGATCGTGGCTTTGTGCCACATGCTGCAGTGTATGTGGTGCATGTCACAGCGCATGGCTTAGTTTTTGACTTTATTCTTTTGTTTTGAAAGGCATGCATGGACTCTAATGAATGCATATGTTAGTTTCTGTTATGTTATGCTCTATTTTGTTATTGATTTTGATGATTTTCAAAACAAGTTTTGGACCCAAGCTTTTCAAATAAGATTTTTTCAAATATAGTTTGGTTTAAGAATATGGTGATTTAGTTAACCCCTCCTAATGTTAGGTGGATATGGGGAGAGGTTACAGACTACTTAGTTGATTTATCAAAAATTGCTATGGTTCAACCTCAAACTCAACAACAACAGACTTAGGGAGAACCCAGAAGAGAATCTAGATTAGAAACAGTTGTGGAAGACTCCTTGATAAAGTATGAGAAGCAATAGCTATGGAAGGTGTTCAATATATACCTATCCATTAGGACTCAAATTTCAAACCCACATCTTGGTTTACATTTGATGATACTCCTCCATACAAATAGAGAGATAAACTCTAAGAATTTGGTACTTGGATTGATTTACAAATGACTAGATCAGATGTCATCATGTGAAAGGTTCTTTCAGAATTTATCTCTAGAATGATGGGAAACCTGAGAGAGTGGTTCCAAACCCTTAATGAATATGATAAGATCAAAATCACTCAATGGCTCTTAATTCTTTGGAGTAATATTTATAAGGAATTTCTTGGAGACTTCAACATCATTTTCAAAGGTGCTAACAGAAGTCATTTGATCTTTGTGAATCTGATCTTATCAAACATGTAAGAGGTTGTATATATTGGGTGGTATCCAAGAAATAAGAGGTTCTTTGAGATCAGAATCACAAATTTTTCAAACATATAATATTTTTCAAACATGCATTGAAAGAACCTCTCGCATGGTGGCATCTGATCTAGTCATTTGTAAGTCAATCCAAGCACCAAATTCTTGAAGTTTATCTCTCTATTTGTATGGAGGTCCTTAGTTTCTCTGTACACATCAAATCCAACAAGAATGTCTTTAGCAAGGTCACAATGTTGAGAGGATAGTTTCTTGCATTAGCTTTTTTTTTTCCTTTTTTATTTAAAAATTATTTTAATGGCTGCTATGAACATAATGGAACCCTCTCTTCCGTGGATATAATTGGGTACTAAGCTGAGAGATAACAAACAAGATGAGAAAACAATGAGGATGAAACTCTAAGGAGAACAAGGAATCTACAAAATAAAGTTGCTTTACATTTTAAAGGGGTCTCTTTGAATTGTTGCTAAATAACACAACAAATGTATAGTACTACAAAAATGTTTAGATGATTTTAATTAATAATGCATTTGGATATATAATTTTTAAAAAAGGACATAAATAGTCAAAGTCCTTTGGGGGATATCTAATAAAATTAGAATGTTATAGAGAATATTAGCATAGCCTCTATGCAAGGATGGCGCACACAAAAAAAAAAAAAATTAAATAATGGTGAAAAGTGCATTTTTGTGGATGATGCATGTATGTTTTGTTTGGAATCTTAATATTTGTATGAAGTTTTGGGATATCTTACTATCAAGGGGGATTTCTACAAAAAATTATATGTGGTTTGGCATAAATATTAATTGAAGATTTAATAAAAAAATTTCAAATAATCCTCAATTATTTTTTTCTTGACACTATTATTAGAATTTTTGGGAGCATTTACATGCATGGCTTACAAGAATGATTTGGAATCTCACTTTGTAATGGTCTCATCTTTATTACAAAGGTGGCGTGTCACAATGAAAAGTTATTGCCAAATAATAAAAAACCTATATAATTGCTTTGGTTGTTGGACACCCGCTTGAGAAATTTATTTGTATGTGCTATATCATTAATTGAACAAAAAGGATGATAGACAATGTAATGCAACAACTATTACAACTAATATCTTGTCTTTTATGCTTGGGAGAAAATAAATGCACATTTATAATAAATAATGAGTCCAACATATTATGAAAGTGGGTAATAAAAAAGGGAGAATAAATAACAATAAAAATTGTAAGAGAGTTAATGCTTATTTAAACATTGCATTGCTACCTATGCAGAAACATAGCCTTGATCTTGTTCAATGATATTATAACATTAATCATATTGCCACGTGTTCATGGAAGACCAGTGCAACAATTTAAAGTCAATTTAAGAATGGAGGATGTAGTTGTCAATTTGTTATTTATATGATGTTCATGAACTCCTTGCAATAAATTGGAATCCATGACTTGAATTATTGCATGTAATATTGACTCACTTACCCAACTCTTTAAGATCAGTTCCATGACAAATATATCTTCCATGGGCCCTTTTTTTTTTTTTATAAACACCTCTAATAGCCTAATTTCATAGCTGTACACATCTATTTTTGTTGAAACAATTCTAGAAAATCCATACTTGGCATATAATTGAATTCAAGAAATAAAATTTAACCAATGACTAAATAAGACTAAATAATCCAACGTGTCATGAATCACCATCTTTCACAAAGATTTATTCCGATATAATTAAGTCATTCCTAAACAACAAACACTGTGCAAAACCATTGAATGTGCTTGATTATATTGGTAAAGCTCTCTTTATTCTAGTATAAACAGCAAGAATCATGTTTTCTTTTACATGTTCAATTTTGTAATCTTCAAATCTTATTCTTTATCCATTCCTTTTACTTTTTATGAGTTGTGCTAACCTTGTAATCTACTTAGAATCCTTTTAAACACAACTTTGGATAAGATTAAACTCTTATTGATTCTTTCATTATCCTTTAAATCCATATAGCATTGGCTCTATTGGTATAAACCTTACCTACCTTTTGTTAGAACATTTAATGCAAAGAGCCATTATTTTCCTTACTTGCCATGAGAGTGATCGAAAAGCACTGTGCCATTGCCTGTTTTATGGAGAAAGCTAGAAGGAAAGAAGATGAAGAGTCTAACAGCTAATCTCTTGTGTCCAACAGATCATTTATGAAGATTAACTATAAATAAACGCATTTATGAAGATGACGAAAAAAAATGAAAGAAAACACAAGAGTTATGCCTTCATATTTATTTATTAGTTCACCAACTTCCTATTGTAATGTTCATTATAAGTGAGCTTCATTTGTTGTAAATCTACTCTTAGAAAGAGTTTTTAATATTAGTAGTTCATTCTTAAACTTACTCTATTTATCCCTATTTTACACATTCAAAGTAGAGGAACTTAAGCTCGAAGAGCTTAAATGGGATTAAGTATTACCCTTGTAAGGAGGAGTGATTCAAACTTGTGTAGAATATATAATTGTACTAAGGCAACTAAGAGCTCTACTTAATCTTGGCAGAGTAAGTGGAGAAAATCTCAAGTAGTGTATCTTGAAAATTAGATGTAGATTCAAGTGATTGGAGTTGGACAAAGATGAATGATCTAAACACCCTTCTCTTCCCTACTCCCATTTGTGCTTGGTGATATCATTCTAACCTTATCTCTCATTTTAAATTTGCATTGTTAGTCAAATTTTTATTAATCTCAATTCACCCCTTCTTGGGTGGACTTACAAGATTGTAGACATTTAAGATTGAATTTTATGAGGAATTAAATTAATGACATGCTACTTCAACTTAAACATTTGCGTCCATGCTAGTAATTCACGGAGTATTTGTTGCAACCGCCAACACACATGGATATCCACATGTGTGTGTTCCGAAAATAATATTGGAAATATTGTATGATAATTGAGTAATTACATGAATAATACAATTGCTTTATTAATTTCAATACATTCTCATCTTATTCATCAATATTACAAATATTGTACGATAATTGTGTAATTATATGAATATAAAAGTTACTTAAATGTATAGATGAATTCTTCATGTTATTTATTGTGGCAAATGATTTTTACATTTGAATTATTTTAATTTTTTATTTTCACATCGTTACAAATATATTTAAAAACCTTTCTCTCAAAGGGGAAAGCCCCAAAAAAATCATTTAGTGGGCGAAACTTCACGTAACTAAATATTAATTTTAAAAAACAGATAATTTTAATTTAAACTATTAATTAAATTAACTATAAAGGTATAATATATTTAAACAAAATACTAAAGAAATAATACATAAAACTATAATAACATAAAAAAATAAAAATGTCTCAGCAACAGTTTTGAAATAGATGGAGTATATTTTTCTATCATTGAGCCTATTTATCAAAAAAAATAACTTCACTAGTATAAAATATAATTTTAACTATACATTTTTTGTCACAGTTTGTTAAAAAACTATGATAATATAAGACTCGGGGGTAGATATGTAAATAAGTTAAAAAATGCATCATTTTTGGCGACGGAGCTAAATCTAATTGTCACCATAAATTTATGTTAAATCAAATTAAATAATTTCATTAATTAAAAATAAATTATTAATTAAATTGTTAATTGTGTCTTGTTAAGAAATATTTAATTAAATTTAAATTAAAAACATATAAATGTATCAAGACACATTTATGGCGATAGGCAAACCAAAAACCTGTCGCAATAAATCACATGTAATAATATTAATTATATTTTTAATTGTGGTTAAGTGAAAATATCTAAAATCAAACACATTTATGGTGACAGGCCTAAGGGACCCTATCACCATAAATGTGTCTATTTTCTGCAATTAATTTCCCAACCTTAATTGAAGTCTAATAATATAAGTAAATTAATTAATTAAGCAGATATATTAAATGAATTTCAATAAATTAATTAAATTAAATAAATATATTGTTAATTATATTCTCAAATATGACTGATTTCAATATATTAATTATGTTTGAATTCATACATATTTAATTAAATCTAATTAATAAGTGTGCATATATTAATTAAAAGGTAATATTTAATTTGCATTTATGGCAACAGGCAGTCTCACCCCTATCACCGCAAATGATATTTAATTTACTAGAAGTTAATATTTTATTTGCATTCATCATGTAATTTTTCTAGACACATTTATTGCGATGGGTTACAGAAAACCTATCAGATTAATTGGGATAAAAGAATGAGATTAATTAGCATTTAATAATTTGATTTTAAGAAATTGTGTGTGAATTCAGACACATGGGAATAGAATATAGCATTTAAAGCGACAGACTACTTATAGTTATAACTGTGGCTAAAAGGCATATTTCAATTATTCGATATAACTGTCACCACAAATTTCTCCTTGTAGTGTTTTTCACCACAGTTCATATACTTATAGTTATAACTCTGGCTAAAAGGCATATTTCAATTATTCGATATAACTGTCACCATAAATTTCTCCTTGTAGTGTTTTTCACCACAGTTCTGATATGAACTGTGGTGAATTCAAAGATCCTATTTTTCACCACAGTTCTCCTATGATCTATGGTGAAAAATATACACTTATTACCGCACAATCTTTAATTACACATTATCTTCTATCGTGAAAAAGGGCTTTTAACTGTGGCGAAAAATACTTTTTGTACTAGTACTTTTAATTAATATGTTGATTGATGTGGGAAAAATAAAATATTTTTAATTTAAGAAAGAGTATATGATAAACATTACAGAATGCATTGTCATTGATTTCCAGAGAAGAATAGAGGTCAGAATTTTAATTAAGCTGCTTTAAATAACTTAATTGCTTTACAGAATTTATCATTTTTTTTTCCTAACATTATAATCGAAATGCAGGTTCCAACAAACACATGGATAAATCCACACGCGACAGTGTTGGAAAAGTATATATACTTCTTAGTCCTCTTAATAAAACAATATAATTAAGTGTTTTATTAATTTCTGTAAATTCCTATCTTATTGATCAACAATAGAAGTATTGTATGATAATTGAGTAATTATATTAATATATTTTGTGTTACTTAATGTATAGCCGAATTCTTTTTATTATTTATTATGGCCTAACATAAAGGGACAGACCCAAAATAAAATTATTTGATGGGGCAAAATTTGTACGTAATTTAAGAAAATATATTTTTAAATTTTTTATTAAATTACTATAAGCTATAATTTATTGAAACTAAATACTCAAGAAACAAAACATAAAAATATAATAACATAAAAAAATAAAAATGACTTAACAATAGTTTGGAATGGATGGAGTACATAACATTTTATTTTTTATTAATAAGTTGAAAGCATGATTATTGATGTGAAAAGAAAAGGCAATTTTAGTTTAAGAAACAGTAAATGATAAACATTGGAAGAATGCATTGTTATTTCTTATCAAGAATTGGCCCAAAAAAAAAAAATTTATTGCTTGTTAGAGAATAATGGGAAAAAAATTTAGTTAAGCTACTTTGAGTTTTGAAATGACTTTTTTTTTTGACAGAATTTATCATTTTTAACATTATAATAGAACATTTTATTTTTAGGGTGCATATGTGTGTGTTTGGGATTTGGGTAAATTGGGGCACAAATAAGATATTTAAATATGTGAATAAATTCATTATTTTTCTG